ATAATAATAATAATAATAATAATAATAATACTAATACTAATAATAATAAAAAGAAGAATGAAGGAAAGAAGAATAATTTTTCAGTTTTTGTTCGATGAATCTTTTATAGAAGTTGTATAGAAAAATAGTTGCAAATGTTTAAGTAAAACGGTTTTAGAACTTGAAACAAAATCGTTCCTTTTTTTCTTTGTCCATTTTATTAATTTATTATGAATAAGTAAATAACAAGGACAATTTTTTGGTCTCATTCCCGAATTAATATACAGTTTATTCACACAAAAGCTTAAAATGATTCCACACAGAATAAAYATATATACATATGTTGGTGTATTTACACCAATTATGCGAATGGTGATAAATATCTAGCCTTGATATTTGGTGAGAGCCGGCATACGATCAGCTCAGTGCACGTGTTTCTCGAAGAAAAGAGCGAATAAATAACGTCAGAACGCGAGGGAAACCCGCGTTCATTTTGATTTGTGCTTTTCTTTGCATGCATTTGWGTGAAATAACACTAACGGACTTAACGCTAATAGTCAAACCTAAAAATTTATCGGTATCTTGAAATCGCATCGAATGATTGTCAGTAATAGTCAACGAGTTCTATACTAAAAAAAAGAATTCTAAGCTGACATATACCGTTCGAGTAATCAATCAAGCCCGGCATGCAGTTCCCCGGAGATCTGGGGTCTTAGCAATTTTAAAAACCAATCGATCCGGTTGAAAATTATTTTGCTAATTTTTATAAGAAAAGAGCGGGAAACTTTGACTTTCAAAAAATGGTACACGCGTCTACCGGAAGTACCGAAAAGAGCGGGAAACTTTGACTTTCGAAAAATAACCTATCGGAAGACCGAGTTTTCCGGAACTTTCCTATCGGAATGATCCATACCATACCGGAATTTTTGGTTTTTCCTGGCAAATGGTAAGCACCCCTGTATTTCTAGATGACAGCCGGCAAAACCCTGGAGGGATATACTGAAATTGACGATGAAGTTTGTTAACGATGCAATTACATCTAAAGACACCAAGATATACCGAACAGTTCGATCAGTTTCCTTATGAGAACATTTTGTATTTAGTTAACATAAATCAGTCAAGATAAGTTCCCTTATTTTGTTTCAATATCTCAAAGTCAGGTTGCCGTATAATTGTGACTCTGTTGTCTTGAGAGTCTGCGTTAGCGAATGTACAAAGCACCACCAGGGTTTGGGATGTTTTGCAGATGGTTGCCTGCGTTACTAGTACCGCAAGGATCATGGACAGGCCAGACGGACCTGATTGACCCTTCCAAACAAACGTAGAATTTGCCATTCAATTGCAAACACAGCCCGGAATTAGAAACCCTTATATATTCTGCTGCCACATTGGTGCAAGTAGAGGTAATGGCCTTGACGACTCTACAGGTCAGACTTCCTGACACCCAGTTCACAAGACTTCCGGTTCCCTCTACACAGGATACCCAGTTAGTGATATTGGGCTTGAGTAGGAACTCGTTACCAATCTTCTTCCACAGAGCAAAACCCATGGCCGAGCGAGAAGACTCACTGAGCGGGGTTGTCATTGACCGGGGCACCCAGTAACTAGAACTTAGCCAATTGACAGGCCAGTATGGTGCTGGTGTAACTGCGTTTGACGCTGATGTAAACTTACTGTACTGAGTGAATGTATAGCTGTAGACAAGGGTCCAGCCTCCGCCATCGGTGGTCATGTCACAGAACACTTGGAATGAAGCAGAGGATGGCTCATTGAACTTCATCCAGTAAACACCTGACTTTGCCTGATTGTCGAGGTTCTTGATCCACTTGCAGGATGGTATTGGATTATCTGCCGTAAATCCAGGCGGATCCCTTATCTCCATGTAGATCATTTGTGGCTGGTAAACACTATTCTGTGGGTGTTTTCTTTTCGTAGACTTGCTCAATTCACATTTCATGCTCAAGATGTTCATGTTGATGCTTGCGCAAAGTTCATTCTGCGAACACTTTAAGACACACGATAAAATATCATCCACTTTGCTTGAGTCGAAAACAAATCCATTCAAAAAGGAATTGCTCTCAGAATTCTTTGCTGTACACATTTTACCTTCTGTCAAATTGTTCCTCAGGCTGGCAAACACCAAAGCTACGAGTAAAGCATTCTTCTTTACTTTTGATCGAACGATTTTCATAGTTTCCTATACTAAATTAAAAATAGATACCGATTTTCCCACTGGAATCTTGTGTGTAGTTCACTGAGTGTCTTCACTTAAATGTTAGAAATACAGAAACTGTAATTTTTTATGGTGTGTAGGTCATTAAAGTTTCAAGAAGTGGCTAATCCTTGGAGTTCAGGTGTTAATGAATCATGAGCGAATAATTTGAAGTTTTCTTTCCATCGTTGTTCTTATTTTTCTTCTTTGTACGTATGCAATTCATTCCATGAATTCACCAGAACCAAGGTAACACAAAAACAAATCGAGTGACGAAGTAATTTTCTGCTATTTGATTTTGTCGTACAAATAGTTTATATAAAGYATATGAAAGTTGTTATTACTGAAGTTAATTAGTTGAAAAAAAGATGTTACATGTAGATCCCCCTAAATAATAAATAATATTTTGCCTGTGACTGTCTGTCACACTTGYCGTATATGAAATGTTTAAACTAATTGGACAATTTGTCATATTTATATACGTATCCGTAAATCCTTCCATTTTTTTTTCTTAATATTAAATTTTTACACTAACAATAATATGCAGGATTCAGAACAACAAAAGGAAAAGCCTGACAAGTTATTGAGCAGATGTTTTGTAGATTTAATTGGAATTGTGGAATAGTATGGAAAAAACGAACGTACTAACGAAATAACGACGAACGACAGACGGAGTAACGGACGGATGGACGGACTTACGGAGGAACGGACAAATTTACGTAGGAACGGACGGAAGTACGGAGTAACGGATGTACGGTGAAACGGACAAACGAGCGGACGGAGGAACGGTTGTACGGACGGACGGACGGAAGGAGAGAGTAAAGGATGGACGGACGGTCGGACGAACAAACTTACGGAGAAACGGACAGACGTACGATGGAACGGACAGGCGGACGGAGGAACGAAGGAACGGACGGACGGACGGAAGGATGAAGAAAAAAACAGAGAGAGAGCCGAACGGGAAATAAACGAACGCAGGTGTTTCAAAATTTCAATTAACATGAAATGATGAAACGCTCAAAGGAATTTAAATCTTTTCACACGACGATTCATTTTCAATGAGTTTAGTTTGTGTATGATAAAGTCATAGTTCACTGGCTTCTTGTCCTAAAGAATCATCGGATGTAAACTGTTCCACTGGGGTTGGCAACATTCGTCTTGTGGTTGGATGAACCAAAGGGGCTAGTACCACAGGGATCATGGGCAGGCCAGCAGTCTGGGGTGGAACTTCCGTCTAGAAGGAATTGGAATTTATCATCTTTATTATATGATGGTCCACAGGGAAGAAGAACAAGTTTGTTTGGCGCAACATCTGTGCAAGGTGATGTAATTGCGTTGACAACTCTACAGGTCAGACTTCCTGCCACCCACCTCACAAGACTTCCGGTCCCTTCTACACAGGCTACCCAGTTTGTGATGCTGGACTTGAGAAGATATTCGGTGCCAAAGTTCTTCCACAGTTTAAACTCCATAGCCGAGTAGGAAGACTCACTGAGCGGGGTTGTCGTTGACTGTGGTGACCAACCCATAGGGGACCACGCAACGGGCCAGTTTGGTATTGGGGTGACTGCGTTTGACGTTGATTTAAACGTACTGTACCGAGTAAATGTATAGCTGTAGACAAGGGTCCAGCCTCCCCCATCGGTGATCATCTCACAAAACACTTGGAATGCACTGGATTGGAATGCCTTAATTGGTTCATTCAGGGTTATCCAGTAAACACCTGACTTTGCGTTTTGTTCAATCTTCTTCCACCAACTACAGGACACAACTGGTTTTTCTTTGCCTGAGCCAGGCGCTTTAATGTAATCCCGCACCTCCATGTAGATGGTATTGGGTCGAATGGTGAAGTTAGCTGGGTGTTCAGCTTTGGTGGAGTACTTCAGTTCACATTTGTTTTCCGTCAAAATTATGTTGATGCTTGTACAAAGTATGTGGTCTTCACACTTCATGTGACAATCAAAGACCTTGTCAACAGTGAATGACTCAAGGGTGAATCCTTGCAAGTACACATCTTTTTCTGAGTATTGTTTGGTCGGCCACATCGTAGCGTAGGTGACTTTGTGCTTTAGAAGGAACAGTATAAAGACAAACACAAGCTGTGACTTCATCGTTCTGACAGAAACGCCTATAAAAATGGAGGAAGTTTTAAATGAGTATT